ATATTGTAAACCTACTCTCATCACTCCAAATGATATTCTTCCACTTTCTTACACTCCAATCTTTTTTTCCTAGGCACCAATTCAAATGTTTTATTCTTTGTTGCTCATTAATCAAAGGTTTAGAAGCAGGAACACAAGCAAATATGTTGATTCTGTGTAAACTTCTTCTAATAGTTTTTGTAGAAACATGTAAACCAGTTTCCTGATTAAAATGGTTCTTTATCTGTTCAGCTGATTTACAGTTGTTATGTTTAACAATATTTTTTAATGCTTGTCGATGGTCAGTATTTAAAATTTTTGGACGTCCACTTCTTGGTAAATCTGCCATACTATCTCTTTCTTGAAAATTCTTCACGGTACGACATACTGTTGTGGTGGGAAAGCCAAGTATTTTAGAAATACTTCTATATGAGGCTCCACTTTTATAAAGGCCAACTATTTGTCCGCATTGAGCTTCAGTTAAATTAGACATTTTTTATTTTTTTTTGAAATTTAAAATTTTGAAAACTTTTTAAGATCTTTTTTTTAAAAAAAAGATCTTAAAAAATATGCGATAAAAATTACTTTTTCAGAATCAGCAAAACTTGGGTTTTCATATACAAAATTTCCAAAACATATTATTATGTAGGTTCTTGGACAATTTCTAAAAACATCATGTGAAAAATTTTTGATTGCCAAAATTTAATCGAATTTCATTTTTATGTATTTATTCGAGTTCTACGGAACCTAGACGCATGGGATTTTGTATAGATATTCTCATAAGGACCTAAATTGCAAATGATATAAATTTCATATATGTTTATTATGTACATTTTTGCGCAATTAATAAAAACAAGTGTTCCGAAACTTTTGTCCAAGTACTGTATGTTAGTGTATGGATTTGTAAAATTAAAAATATTATTATTGTTATTTATTACTACTGCTATTATTGATGCTGTTATTGTTATGCTTATAATGTTTAGAATGAAATATGTATATTATGTATGGATTTGTTTGTTAGGTTTATGGCATTTAATGTTTAAAACCAATGACTTCTAAAGTTAAAATTGTTTCAAATATTACTATATAATACTATTATTACCAGTGTTTTGATCCGAAACTCTGAGTTTAGGGAAAACCCAAAACAGAATCTAACAAAAACCACCCGAAACTAGTTTAGGTTAGTAGTTTATGTTTAGGTTTAGTTTCCTGCTTAGTGTAAGTTCATTTTCCGAACCGTTTCGGGAAGCCAAAAGAGTTTCTGGTCACAACACTGATTATTACTACCACTATTATTGTTATTATTATTATTATTATTTGCTTTATTAATTCCTTTGTTTTTTTCTCCCTCACTCGATTATTTTTTCGATTTTCGATTAAATCGATAATAATAATCGATTGACATCCCTAATACTAATTTGATATAAATCCCCATATAATATATATATATATATATATATATATAAGAATGGTCGAATTTTTTTAACAATAATTTGTTTATTTGTTACTTGTTTTTAGCATAAACAAGTCTACCAATAAAAATGCAAAGTGAGGTTTCGTTTTTTAGATATTATGCATGCTCTGCGAGATCAATATTTTATTTTTAACATCATTAAAGTTACCTTGAGTTTGGACATCTTTGTGTAAAAAGTCACATCACTTGAGTGGGTCAATGCAATAGTCTATTTTATTAATTTGAAAAATATAAGTAGGACCATCGTCTCCACATTTTTTCACAACACCACCAACCAACAAACGTATAGGATATTTTGGCTTAACCATTTATTATTATTATTATTATAGTGATACAACTTTAGAACGCCAATAATGTTACGATCCTTGAATTGAATTCGTTAAACGTAAAATTTATTTTCACAAATAGTAACACAAATTCTTCTATTTTTCAAGAGGGATAATTGTACTAACAAAACATATTAAAATAAACATCACAAAATACTCACTATTGAAAAAGCAATACAGAAGTTGGAATTTTAGATAAATGTATCAAACCATTTACGTCTATACCAACGAGTATATTATTTTAAATGGAAAAATGTAATAACCAATGTATTAGTAATTCTGATGCATTTTTTAACAAAAAATTTTTTTTTTGCAGTTATTCTAATGAAAATACCAGAATATTTGAATAATACATTATATCAACTTGTGGCATATGTTCTGGAGATCCTGCATATAAAGTTTAAATTTTCCAATAAAAATTCGTGATAAGTTTTTTTAATCATTGCTCTAAAGCTTACATGATAACATTGTTTAATATTTTTACATCTGATAAATTAAGATCATCTGATTTTCAAGAAAAAGATTTTTTACACGATTTTGAATGCTTTTTTTTTAACGAATTATTAAAGATTTTGGTAAATTTTAAAAATGAACTTAAATCAAGTTGAACGTGGATAAATTATTGGTCTCTATAGAGGTGGAAATTCAAAAGTCAAAATTAGCAAAATTCTGGAAGGGTGGCCAAGTCAGTCTCCTGACCTAAATCCAATCGAACATTTGTGGAATGAACTAGAGACTCGTTTTCGAAAAAAACCTAGCCAGCAAAAAACTTAAAGGAGTTAGAGGCACTTTTAATTGAAGAATGGGATAAAATTCCAGAAGATGTGTATATGAAATTAATCGAAAGCATGCCTCGTAGAATTGAGGCATGTATTGCAAGTAATGGATGGCCCACGAAATATTAAATTAATAAGAGGTTTAGATCTGTTTAAAATTTACACGTTAATAAAATTGATCTTTCTTCAAAATTTTTTTTTTTTTTCAAAAATAATCAACTTTTTTTTATTTTTTATTGCTTAAGTTCTGGAAAATTTAGAAATATGAAACTATATGCAGGATCTCCAGAACATATGCCACAAGTTGATATAATTTTTTTGTACAATTATTATGTATTTAGGATGACCGAAACTTTTGCTAAGGTACTGTAGATGATGTTATTGTACACAAACATAAAAAATGTGCTCCCTTGATTCTTTATTTCACAAATTTTAATCTAGTTTATGGGGTAAAAAGTGTTTTATTATTAATACTTCTCTGCCTCTTTGAGCTATCAAGCCAGCTTTACTATCACGTACGTATAAGTACAAGCCCGACAATTGTTTTCTTTCGAAAGTTCTTATATAACACAGCAAATATGGAGGAATGGAAATATTGAAATAAATATGTTCTTTTACAGATTCATACATGGACAAATGGCAGTGGATTTTATTGTTATTATCTAATGTTTAAATTACATTCTAAATATAATTGTATGCAAATCAGCACAGATCTCCTTATTATTATTATTTATTATTATTGTTTGTTGTGTTGTTTGGGTATGTATAAAATTCTGATTGGTTAATTGAGTAAATTGCAAATTCACATAAATGTACAACAAATTAAACTTTAAATAAACATGAATTTTTAATTGAACACGACATTAAAAAATTATTATTTTATCGATCACTAAAACGGTCTGAATTCTAACAAAATCGCAATTTCAGTAGCAATTTAATTATTCTCACCATCTTGGGGTTACTCTAAAATACAATATATAAATGGCTCTAAATCTTTCTTTCTTTTTCTCTCATTATTCTTGCGTGTATACATACATACATACATGCATAATTTCTGTGATAATTTATACAAAATTATCTTATATAATTATTAATTAATCACATAACTAAGCAATTATACATATTTTCGAGAATGAGGTCAATTACAATTCTCCTTGCTATTTCCATTTGCGTTTTTTTCCTAGTTCAATCGGTTTTTTCAACAAAATCTTGTAAATTATCACCAATTAACGTCCGGTCCAAAAATTTTGATGGATTGTATATAGAAGGCTTCGGTGTCAAAACGGCACATGATGTAAAATTGAAGGTCAAAAAAGATTTCATCGAGCTCACTTCCAAGGATTTCAAAAATTCTCATATCACCGTAGAGGATGAAGGCGATTACACCACGTATCTGATGGATAAGATCGTAATCAACACACCAGCTCTAAATAAACTCAATGGCAAAACCCTCCCTGCCGAGATAAACTTCGTATACAAGAAAGAACGTAATGGCTCCGGCAATAATCCAAATAACCTGGCCATCCTTACTACTCTTTATAAATTTGGTAAATTTGGTGGCAGCCCTTTCTGGGATGAAGTTATCAAGGCAGTAAGTATAATTTCCTTGTCTATCGTATATATAAATAATGTATCATTTCCTTATATTTACTTGATATGTTTTATGTCACAATAGCTAAAGCGAAACAAGAAGATGGATGTGCTTAAATTTAAGAATTTACTTGATATTACGGACTCCCATAATGTAAGCATGAATTCAATTTCCATATTAATATATATAATAATATATTATTTAACAATTCTAATTTATATATATAATCATATTCATCATAAATTTAAAGGGATTCAATTATGATGGTACTTTGACATCACCGCCATGCAAACCTGTTGAATGGTCCATTAGCAGTAAGATTCACGCGATCAGTATATCTCAATTTAGAGCATTAAAAGCAGCCATGAAAAAACGTTAAAGAGTACTACAAAAATTTAGAAAGAGAGAAATAGATTCGAATGAATATTTTTTTTAAACAATTTGAATTGATATTATATTATTATTGTTAGATTAGATTTTAATTTTAATACTCTATGCTTTTTGTACTAAGCAATTAATTATTTGTAATGCAAAAAAACGTCACTTTGACGAATAATAATAAACACACAATGAAAGATGTTCAATGATTTAAATAATTGTTTCATTTCTTTTAAAAGCGCTGACTGACTCTAATCAATAATCCTGGAAAACTGTCTTTTGGACAGAGTTTGGGTGTTCTTCTTGAAACTAAGAAAATAAACCATAAAATTATCACTATTTTTTACGAGATATTTTGTAATAATTCTTTCCCAGACAATTATTTTTCGACAATAGTGTGCAACGCGGTCATTGTTTGAGTATGCATCTGAATTATTTTTAACAAATTCCAATGGGCTATATTATCCTTGAGGGATTGTCCCACTTAAAAGTTGTTTTGGTAAAGAAAAGTGTTTCCTCTTAAGCTTTTCCTTTTTGACATTAAATGGATTAGTATACCATTGAATAGGCTACAGGTGCTAAATTGAAGATAATCATTCCCTAGTATATTTGTATAGAATCTATATAAGGTTAATCAACAGAGATTTTTTCAAAGCCTTATCGAAATTCTATTATTTTGAAAAAGAAACTTTGCCACGCATAATTTATAGGGCCTAGTACTAGACCACAAATCACATAGTCAACCCGTTATTCCGTTCAAAATTAGTTGTTAGTATTATTATAATTAGGTTTAGTAAATTTGGTTTCTAGAACCAACTTTGGTTTAACAGGGTTTTTCGGATTAATAGGGTTGATTACGTAGTTGTATACTTTATTATGTTAAATTTTCTAAAATAAAAAAATCTGTAAAATAATTTTATCTGTTTATAGTATTATTTGTTATTTGTTAGACTAGACATGTGGATATTACTTGGAATTCCATATTTTATAGGATGTCCCATATCCTAAATTTTCATAATAAATCAATCTCCGTATTTATTATAAATAGAATTACCAATTACAGATTCCATGTTTTCAGGAAGGTAAAAATTGTACACAGATATTCATAATATGTGTTTAATTTTAGAACATGAATATGTAGGGATGCAAACAAAAAGATCAAAAAAATTCCCGGATTTTGAATTGATTTTAATAATAAAGATAATTAAAGATTAAAAATCCATTAGTAATAATATAGTTAAAATCTATCATGACTTGTTTCTAATTAAAAATAACAAGCCAAAACATGCATTAGATCAAGTTTGTTATTATAATAATAATATCTTGATTCTTTTACATGTATTAGATCAAAAATTTATATTT